AACAAAATTTTGTCTCCTTAAGAAATACTGTCTTCTAGTATTTTTAGTATTATCTATAGGGGAAAAGAGGAAATAATATTTCAGGATATACATTTAATATAATTCCTTTCTTTCATACCTCTTTACACTGCACTTAGTTCACTGCATACATTTCACATAAATGCCTGCTCGTAACTAGCTCACAGCTGCAGCGCACCTCATAAAACACTTCTGAACAGAAAAGCACTCTTGGCTCCAGCAGCTTCTGAGACAATAAATGCCAACTGATTCTCCTTCAGTGACTTGTGGTTTTTAAAACAGGATAATCACAGTGACCGACTCAGTGCTGCCACAGGAGGGACTAAAGTCATATTTTCTTTATTTTGCCACAAAATAATTTGATTGAATGCAATACTGAGATCTTCCTCATTCAGCCTTTTCAGACCAGATTTCTCAAGACAGGCTCATATCAACACATAAGTAGAGTAACTGATTGTGCCGGCTGTCTCTGGGTAGGGAAGTTTTGAGCCTTTGACCCAATGTCAGCTAAACACAATAGTCAAAGATGTACAGAAAGGACGTTCCTTTCTAGCAGACTGCAAACTGGCCATGGGCTAGAAAAGAGACGTGGGAAACAGCTCACAGAGGAACGACACAGCCCTTCCCTGGTTCTGTCCCTCCTGAGCCAGGTACAGCACGTGCTGCCCTGCGCCCAGCATGTAGCTGGGGGAGAGAGAACAGCACACACCAGGAGCTCAACATCTGCTGCCAAGAGGACCTCGCTTATTGGACCCACATGCTTCCAAGCTAACCATTGATGGGCACATCCCTGGATGTCCACCTGGACTGTGGCTTCTGAGACATCAAGATATGCAGCCCAGCTTTGTCCTGCTGCCAGACCTCTTTCTTGGACCTGGGGAGATTCTGCCATCCAGCAGCTTTGAACTCCAAGCACTGACTCAAAAAAACCTGTTGCTCCATGGGGTTGGAGCAGTAGCTGACAGTCAAAAAGGGTCACTGCCACGTGATTTTGATGAGCTTTTGTGAAAATCTTAAAGGAAGGGCAGTTATTTTTTCCGGGGAAGGGCAGAGCAGCAGACAGGTAATACAACAGACTGCCCTGGAGCAAATCGACCTTTGTGCAGTCCCAGGGTTAACACATCTTTATGTAGGACAGCACACCTACAGCTTTGTCACAGACATACAGAGGAACACCCTTCACCCTCCTCCTTTGGTGGAGGGAGGTCTGATGGGATTATGGAGACTGCATAATAACACCAGTGCCTGCATGAGCCTGTGCCTCCACAGAGTTGAGGTTCTCCCCACCCCTGCACAAAAGCACACACTTAACCCCCTGCAGGAGCTCCACAAAAGCTGTTGTCCCCACATGGATGCGGTTGTCACCACAAGGATGCTATTCTCCCAATGAACTCACCAGCAGGTCCCTGCCTCTGTGTGCAGCAGCACTGCTGCCAGATGCACAGGCAACCTTCCCTCCACCGCTTCACATTGAACACTACCTTTTTTCATGACTGCAGTTTATTAGATAGGGAAAGCAACTGGGAGGCAAGTATCTTAGAAGGAGTGGGGACACAAAGATAAAAGACAGAGGAAGTTCTTGTCTGTATGGTTTCTGTCACAAAGCAAAAGCAGTTAGTAATATGAGAAGCATCAGTTCCAAACTGTAGCAGAATCAGCACCTCTGCCTCACGGAAGATTGGGGAGGATGAGCGGTGTTTTTGATGTCAAAAACTTGAAATATTTTACCACATAATAAAAAATAAATTTACAAGTGATAAGCAACCATTTAACCTCATAATGCCTTTTTTCCCCCCATGTAACAGGATGCCTCCTATATCCCAAAGCTCTTAAGTTTTGAGGTTGCTTTCCACCTTTTTCTAACCAATACAAACATAATCACATTCATGATTCTAATCCATCCCAATAACAATTAATGTCATTCAGTTACTCTTTTACTAGGTGGCTGTACAAAACTAGTTTAGTTCTTGAACTGAATGGACATTAAATTAAGTGATTATTTCCTTTATAGTTATCAACACCATTCATTTTAAAAGCATTTCTGTCAAGGTTAGTACAATAATTAATAGAACTACTGTTTAGGTTTGCATCTATTCAGAAATACTTAAATGCTTGAACAGAGCTCTAAGTTTCTATAAAGTACTAATTCCAAAAGTAATCAGGTGAATTGTCAAAGAGAACATCATGAAAATTTCTGTTCCTTTGAATGACTTAGTTCTGTCTGCTTAATCATGGGCAAATTTCCACCCTTCAATCATCAGCCCACCAGGACATACTACACTATCCTCCCTCCACAAAAGCTGTTACTCAGCATGCATCTCCTTTCTGCTTTTCTTGTTCCCAGCTCTTTTCAACATTTCCTTTGGTCTCTGCTCTCTGAGAACAGAGGAGGAAACAACAGGACCTAGTAGTGATATTGCTACAAAATGAAGGAAAATGACAAGTAGGGAGAAATGAAGACATAAATAAAAATAAGAAGTGAGGAGCTCTATCCAGCAGGATAGAGATATCAAATAACTGGAAGAATCATTCTCAGGAGCACTACAATGCACATAACTGCCATTCCTTCACTCCAGCCATGTCCTGTTACAATAAACATAACTGACTCAGCTGCAGATGTCCTCTGGACGTTTACCTTAGACACTGAGCGCATTTTCAGTAGGGGACTTTTCAGGCAGTAGCAGATAGAAATACAGAGGCGAGATGATGCGACCCTTTTCACAACAGACTCCCAAAGGGTACCCTGCCTGCCACCATAGACACCTGTCCCATTTACCTCTCTCGTGGCCTCTGGTCTCCAAGTTTGTTTATTGGGAAATTACTGCTCCCTCAAGCATGAGATGTCCTCGACTTCTTATTTAAACAAAAAGGGGTGATGGGGGGGGGGGGTGGGGATAGTAACTG